TAAAATTTGAAAATTAAAATATATATCAAATAAGTTTAGAAACTAAAAATATATTTAAGTATTTTTTTTATCTTAGATACAAAACTTTATTCAGCCAGTGAAATTTGTATCATTATTTGTTGTAGGTTATTTCTTATGGGCATTCAAATGTATGACATGAGTTGGAAAATGATTTTAAAAAATATTGTTCAAACGAAAACAACGATCGAATGCCCAAAAATATTTCAAGCGTCATAAAATGCTAGCATCAAAGAAAAAAAATAAACATTCGCAATATAACTCTTCCTCTTAATGTTAATCTACCTCGTGATCCACTTGCTTACACTCGGGTTCAAGATTTCTGCAGACAAGATAGTCAAGGGCAACAACAAATGTCACCTTTCAATCCACCATATTACAACATTTATAACGAATGAATTTATTATGATGCCAAAATTTGTCCAAAAAATTCTTATTTTTATGTTATTTTTATTCATTATTAGAAAAAAAATACAATTTATCTTTCAATTCAAATAAGTCAGGATGTAAAGTTAGCAAGATTTAAACACGTATATATATACACGTATCTCAGTATACCTTTTAACTATATAAATATTTGTTTTTGTGTATCACAAGTTCAAATTTTATTGTTATTTTATGTACAGGTGTGTATAGTTTATCTCATTTTTTGTATCACAAATGTTCAAATATATATTATCTGCTCAGGACTCACATTATATATACTTTACAATAATATTTTAAGATATTTTTAATATTTTATGTTTTACTAGATACTATTTTTTAAAGGTAAATGTTATTAATTTTCGATAAAAAGAAGTTACATGGCATCATAATAAGAATTATTAACCATAAATCAAAAACACAATTATTTGTTAAAAATTATTTACTTATTTAAAATTTTGATTATAATTTAAATTTTTAGTTAATTATGTTGTTTTAGTATAGATTTTAATTATATAAAATAAATACTTATTCAATCTTAAGAATTGCTTAAAAAGCTATAAAGTATGACAAACTTGATTAACTTTCGTAAAAGAGATTACAAATTATGAGAACATACACGAAAAATGTGATTTTAAAGAAAAATGCCTTATTCATACGTGAAAGTTAGATATTCTCTAGAGATAAAAACAGAAAGATGTGAGTTTGGAGGTGACGAGTGAGAGAGTGCATTAAATTATGAATGATATCGGTTATCTTTGGAAATATTTTTGAGGGAAACTCCACCACACTTAAGAAGAATCCTACAAATTATAGGACCAACCATTGCACAACACATATTCTTTGATTATCTCTAATACACCTGATGGAAACATATTTATTTATGGTTTCCCATAAGATAAGACTCGTGTAATAATATTAGATAATTGTACAATTTATAATTCCATTAAAAATAGTACATAAATCTACGCTATGTGTAAGAAGATAAATTTACAAAGTATAAAGACTGAAAATGCATTTTTAGACATTAATTGACCCATTTAACATTGGAAATGTTCATTTTCAAACGTTAATAAATGACGTTAATTTTTGTAGATACTAAACTCTTATATATATATATATATATATATATATATATATATATATATATATATATATATATATTAAATTTTAGTTGTATCTTTTAATTGGTTCAATGAAAAACTTCTTATTTTTAATTATGTATTGTTTTTATTATTTGACTCTTACTCTTCCTTTAATTTCTTTATGATCATCTACCTGATATTTTTTTTACTATATTGTTTATCTATTTGTTAGAATCCTTTTTTTTGGTTTGCGTATGGAAGTGTGACTGTGCTGCGTAGTGAGTCAAATTTTATTGATAATTCTTAATAATGTTACATCATTTAATTAGATTGATTACATTAGGTTAGCTAAGTACAGTAGATTGATCTAACAATGTCACAAAACACTCCCTAGTATTTTGTGAGCTAAGTACATTATCCGAACACTAAATATTAAAAAATGAGTTTAATTATGGAGAAACCAATACTATGTTCACATTATTGTTTTTTTTTTTGTGCGTTTATAATAATATTTTTATTCATGGGGTTTTCCCCAAATTCATTAGGCCAAATCTTATTTATACATTTATACTTAATCATAGTATTAGATTAGGTTTGTTGTAACATCCCAAAAATACAGTATAAAACCATATACGAGACTAATCACATATTAATAATACTACGGATCACTTCTACACACAACGAGATACTATCATGGCCGAACGACCTTACATAATAGTAGGGAAATCAAAACCGCACACTAGCTATAACTAGACCGAACGATTTACAAAATGAACTTGTATCGAACGATCTTACAAAAGGTGAAGCCAACAATTGACTGAGCGTTCCTAAGGTTCGGCCTTCACTTCCGCCTCTTCCAATGCTTCTTCCAGTAACTCTTCTTCTGCTTTCATCCACACGAATGATCATTGCAACAGGACAACAACCGAACACACAACACAGACAACAATGATAAACGGGGTAAGCTTATGTAATTTAATTAATTCAATAACAACATACAACGTTCATGATTAAATCAACAAATATCAAATCATAATTTATACAGCATGGCATGCAAAGAACGACCACTTGACTCTGACTGTCCGAACTATATGAATCCTGTGTAGCTGCGACGTTTGTGCACCCGGGTGATGTAGTAACTGGGATACCCTCAATAGCTACCACCCGAGGTTAATCTGTTCCGTCCAAGTTAACCTTATGGACTAGGACCTCCTGCCATTCCCACACATGACTTACTCCTCTCTATTTGAGAATGAGTGATCATGGAATATTAGGATAAACGCCCGCAAAGCTTTGCCCACATTCATACTTTATCAATCAATAACCACTTTCTGAGATATTCCTCCCTGGAATACTCGTTCATAATCAAACTATTTCATTCACATCACATTTCAAATTCTCTTATACTTCATCATCAATACATTCAACTGAAATAAGATCACACTTTCTCATCATAGCATAAGTCCGACTGGAATAACACTTCTTAGAAACTAACATGACCGAGCGCTATTTACGAATTTATCCACTTCAATAAACAAACCCCTAAGAGTTCAAACCGGACGCCCCGAAGTCTAGGCCGAGTACTAAGACTCTAGACCAAACACTTTTTAAAGACCAACACTGTTTGACACCAAATACTAATACTGATGAGAAACTATGAATTAACAAACACTGTCGAGTTTGACTGAAGACTCTTATTCTAGAAACGGTAATAATAGATTACTGAAACGAGACCCAACGCTTGGTTTAAGACCGAACCCTGTAGAAAACCGTACATTATTGAACGAGCGTTGGTCCAAGACCAAGTACTTATCAGGAACGAGCGCTACGGAGATCGAACGCTTGGTACAAGACTGAGCACTAATAAACTTACACCAAAACGAATGAATATATATGTGTGTGTGTGTGTGTATATATATATATATATATATATATACACACACACACACACAATTGTGCCACACTTGTTTTTAATGAAAAACAACGATAATGTCTACGACTTTAAGTAGTATATACTACATTAACTAAACTGTTTAGGAAGCCTAAAGGAGAACTACATTTAGGCTGAACGCTCACTTACGTATATATAATATTATAAAACGATCTTCATGAACGACATTCTCTCCAGAAGAAGAATTTAGTATCGACGGACGCTCAAAGGAAAACTGAACGGCTAATACTGTCTCTCGGTCACAGTTTACCTAATTCTGCAGAGTATTACAGAATGACTCTTAGACAATATCCCTGAAGCATGAGAAATCAGTTAAGACCATGCACTTCCATGAAGAATCGAACGATCACTAATGACGCTCGACCATACTACAACATTTACTCAGTTCACACCTTTTATCAATCATCCATCCACACATCCAAACAAGCAGTATCATGCATATTTCATACTCATCAAATAATCAAACAACGTATCATGCAAACATACAAACTTTCAAAACAATAATCTTAATCAAATTATATAAGCTTCCCTTACCTCTATACGTAACTGAACGCTCACAGATATAGAATAGAGTTCACTACTACCAAAGTCTTAACGTTCGACAGTCACACTTTAAGAAACTGAACCAAACAGAAGACCAGAAATACTCAGAATAATATGATTCGCTCAAGCAACCAGAAATATGAATTTGCATGCGAGAAGAAACGAACGTGCTAAAGAGAAAGAAACTCACCGGCTTAGAACCGCAAACCGATCGGTTTAAACGAAAGCTCTTGACGCCGGAAGAGTTCAAACGGTGTCTGAGGGGTGATCGGAATAAGAGAGGATGAGATTTTCTTAAAGAGAAGATGGAGATGGTAGAGAGAAGGAGGAGATTTCAGAAGGTTGAAGATGGATGGTGCATGCAAAGAAGTGGCACGAAAATTTGAAAGTTTCAGTTTTACTCTTACCGTCAAAACCGTTCGTCCAATCTGTATCACACACTTGTCTTCTACTTTCTGAATTTCAGACGCTCCATTCGCTTACACCTGTACTCCACTAAGTTGGAGTTTTTATGGGTCTGACATTTGTAGTCAGTAAAAGAATTTAAACAAGGTCAGTTAGTGCAAAAAACACAAAAAAAAAAATAAAGTATCATAATAACATTGATTACGTCATTGAAATAATAAAAAAGATAACAAATAAGCTAAATATGCGGACCAAACCAAACACTAAAGGACGTTAGGAAATTGCTAATCAAAAAAACTTTACCTGGTCAGTCCTTTAAACATGGGACACTTACGTTGAACTCTGTCCGGCAAGTCTATTCAACTTTGAAAGTATGCATAAGACCACGAGAGGGACGAATATTAATTCTTGAATACTACTACACTATTTATGTACAAGACCACGTTGCTTCCTATTAAAAAAATAACAAGCTGCTAAAGTCATTTTTGTAGCAAATAATAACTTATTTGTTCTGTTCTCTGTTCGGAAATGCTGAAAATGGATATGTTTTATGATATGTTCTTCTCCATTGTACAATGGATATATGTCTTGGCTTATATGCCGTCCCAAGGTATGACCAAGTAAGCCAAATTGAGAGTGCCCTTTAATAAACAAAAACATGTAACAATATCCTATGTAACATGTTACGTGATGGGTCCCACTAGAAGCTAGAAAAAGACATTTATGTCTCAAAAATTGTAGTTTTGGTGAGAACATAAATACTAAGGTTGCAAGTTTTGGTGGAGATTTCACCACCTGAAATAGCACAACAGCCTTTGAGAAACAGGAGTGGATCTGGTCGTAAGATGTCGCTGGAGTTTATTGCAGGCATTTTCTCAGCACTGGTAGTGGCCTTACTCTACTGGCTCTTCAGGAAAAAGGTCATTCCATTTCTTAAGCAACGTAAGACTTTGAAAGGTGAGTGAACTGATGGGTTTATTTCATAGAGATGGATTGTTAGAGAAATATTATATATATATATATATATATATATATATATATATATATAGAAAACATGACATTGAGTTTTATTTCACATAAGATTTTGCACCGCTTTTTATTCAAAATCTTAGACAACAAATTTATGGATCTTTCGTTTTGTATAATGTTTAACCTGTTTTCTTTATCTAACGTGAGATTTTGACTGTTTGGATTGTTCTAACATGAATGAACGAATGCAAGTAATTTAGGTAGTGAAGAAATCCAGGTATTTCTTTCACCTAAGGTGGCACTGAATCTTTGGAGGCTTTTTTATTGTTACAGCAGGAAAGGAACATAAAAGCTTTGAACATGACACTATATCATTAAGGTGTTTTGATTTTAAGGAACTAGAGAAAGCAACAGCAAATTTTAGCGAAGATTGCTTGCTGGGTTCTGGTGCATTTGGAAATGTCTACAAAGGAACTTTTGAGTTAGAAGGAACTCTGGCCATTAAGAGAGCTCATTTTGAATCATTCACAAGCGTGGATGAATTCAGAAATGGTTAGCCTCAATGAAGATAATTCTGCCTGTTTAACTCATGTCAATTCTCATCTCAACTCGCTCTCATCATGGTTTTAAAGTTGCAATCGTGGTCGCAAATACCTTTTGGTCTCCAATCATAATGCAGTATCATGTATCTGCAATTTTGATAATTGCAACCACAACTGCAATTCAAAACCATGACACCCCCAGAAAAGAAAATTCAATTTATTATTCTTGACGAGTATTTATTTGTTCATGGCAGAAGTTAGGCTTCTTTCAGCTGTTAGGCACAGGAATGTTATTGGTCTGGTTGGATATTGTGAAGAACCAGGTGACTATGACTGACAAAAATTCCCTCTTGATTGTGCAGTAAAAGTTGATGTTCTTAACATCGTGATATTAATTGTAAAAGCACATTGCTTTGGTAGTTTATATTCGTTACCAGTTATCAGTGTTCTGAGGAAGTTATTCCCAAACAAATTTATACTAACTTGGCCTAATTATTGTTAGAATAATGGTTAGAAAAACAAGGACTTGAGATTTAGTATTAGAAGATGGAGGGGTGAAAGTTAAGGAGCACTATTCTTATACTGTCATTTAGTCTGTAAATTGAAAAGTCATTAAGGACTTTGGGTTACGTTACTGTTTATGCTGCATTCAATCATGTAACTTAAGTGTCAAATACAATAAAATGTCTTGTATTTTCTCTATTCCCCTCTATCTTTCTAACAATCATGTCTTGATCAGAACAAGATGGAGCCAAAATACTGGTCTATGAATATGTTCCAAATGGTTCACTGCTTGAGTACATCATGGGTAAGTTTTCTGTTTATCCTTCTTAAACAACACAATAGTCAAAGCTATTATGTGTACGCTCAAGGATTTTCTTTCACTTCTAACGTGTTTCTTAACTTGAACATCGTATCAGAAACATGAATAAAGAAGACAGAATTAAAAGATAGACGAAATTTGATTAAAAGGATTTAAGCCGTGAACAGAAAACTCATTATTGGCTTCTACTGTTTATTCTGCAAGCACAAATGCATGGCTAAGAATATTAGCTTTTTGTAGGAAGCAGAATGAGTTTAACTTGGAGGCGAAGAGTGAAAATAGCAATAGGAGCAGCAAGAGGTTTGTCCTTTAAATAATAGTCCCCAGTTGATTTAACAAGAAATCCTTGAATTAAGACAGAATTGCTATGTTGGTACATTTTACAGGCATAGCTTATTTGCATGAAGGTGTGAAGCCAAGCATAATCCACCGTGACATCAAACCAAGCAACATCCTACTAGGGGAAGGTTTTGAGGCTAAGGTTTCGGATTTTGGGTTAGTGAAATCAGGTCCAACTGGTGATCAGTCACATGTGAGCAGCCAGATAAAAGGGACACCAGGGTACCTTGACCCAGCCTATTGTTCAAGCTTTCATTTGACCAAATTCAGTGACGTTTATAGCTTTGGTGTCATACTTTTGCAACTTGTTTCAGCTAGACCTGTGGTGGATTCCACTGATAAACAAAGTAATCAACATATCATTGACTGGGTAAGCAAGCAATGCATAATGCCCTTAATCTTCCAATGCAAAGATTTGCTTGTTTTGTTATTGTTCTAAACCAAGAAGATCATCATAGTTCATTACTCATTACAACAGATTGGTACATGATGCAGGCAAGGCCAAGCATAGAGAAGGGCAGTGTTGAAGAAATCATAGATGCAAATCTACTATGTCAAAGTGAGCCCTGCAATATGGAAGTTATGCTGAAGATGGGGAAACTTGCTTTAAGATGTGTGGTTGAAGAACCAAAACATCGCCCAACAATGACTCAGGTGTGTCAAGAACTAGAGCGAGCCCTCAGCTCATCTGATAGCTTCAACAGCAACAAACAGTCTTCAAAGGGATTCTTTACACCAATTGGTTTATCCCAGCAATCACCCAAGTCTGAGACTCGGGGATCAGTTGAATCATATGATTGTTCACAGAGCTTTGTTAGTATTGATGGTGTTGGATTGCAGAAATTCCATGTTGATATGGATAGTTTCTCCTTTAAGAGCACAAACTTAAGGTGCCTAGAAAATAATAGTATTAGTATTGACATGAATAGAATGTAATGGTAACAGTTTTTGTATTGATAACAACAATTTGGAAACAGAGACTTCTCCAACAGAATGAGAAAAACTCATCACTCTTTTCCTGTATTGGAATTCAGGATTTGAGAGTAACGACATAGTTTCAGTATGTCTCATCATTGTCTTCATTCAAATCTCGTTGTCAACGTACATCTATATGTATGCATGGATCCAGTTCAGAGGTGTGGAAGTAATTTTCAGTCCTTTTTTTCCCCCTTTGTTACCTTACCAGAAAATTTGAAAAGATAAAAAAAATGTTAAAAACTACAAGAAATTAAGAGACGGTAAAGTTCTACTTTTGCAACCTTAGAGGTTTGCAGAAGTTCAGATATTTTAACTTTTTTATAAAAATAGTTTCGTATCAAATTATTTTTTCTCATTTTAAATATTTTTATTTATTATTTAATTTTTTAATATCAACTTTCAATCTCAATTAATATTGGAATTTCATTTTTAAGACATAAAGTGTATGTATTTTGATACTTAATAGTGGAATATATTATATTTTCTTAACTGGGACTTTTAAAAAATAATTTAATTAATATTTAAAACATATATTAGTTAAACATATACTTATCCCAGATCGCACTGCATTATGATGCCTAAACGTTTATGTACGATAAAAACTTAAATTGTTAATATTTATCCACATACTAAGCTCTTTAATTACGATTGCGACAATAGCACAATTTATTTTTCTATCCAGATATTCTTTTACTTTTCTTACGTCGCATCTTACAACGTATTCTTCACCTTAAATTCAAGTCAAGATTAATGCAATTATCAAATCCAATAATAGAATATCACAGTAAGAAAACATTGTAAATTGTGAAAAATAAAGATACGCAAACATAAAGTTATAGAAACATTTGATACTTCAATATTAAATTGCAAAAGGATAGCACAGCCATCACTTGCGTACCCAGAACAAGATCCAAAATTCATATTCACCATCCTTTTTGTACCAGACATTAACCAAAAAGAAATAAGGATAAAAAGCAATATGAACTTCGGATACTTATTTAGTTTTCCTATTGAGTGCGATAAACTAACTATGCATTCAAAGGAGTGCACGAACAACTTACAGAAATCGCTCCCCATTGGATGAGAAAAATATGAGATGCAACATGATTGCCTCTTAATGATCAAATATTGAAGGTTACCTTTGGCTTTGGTACTCTACTTCCATGATGCTTTACTCACGCAAGGTAGATACCCCAAGTCACTTGTTACATTGTACTAAATGAGCGAAAGTGTTTTCAATCTCTGTTAAATTGGATATACAATCTGGTGGTTACCAGAGCTCAATGTCTGCTAAGGATACAACACTACATACAAGCATAACAGATCATACAGCCAGCTTCATCAACCTGAACTATGTTTCCATCGGTGCAGCACAGGGAGCCAAAGTTCTAGAAGGAAGGGGAACACCACCTCCTCTCACTGATAAAGGAGGACCTCTTACTGAGTTGGCTCTGCTGACAAGATTGGAGTCAAGAAATACAACTACAACTGTGATGTCATCGTGGAAATGCCTGCGGACACCACGATCAATTTTCTTCAAATCAGAGTACCTCATCTCTCTCTTTTTAGCTGCTTCCTGCAAAGCAGCTTTGATGAGCCTTCGAGCAATTCCCTGCAAAACATAAAAGCATGTAATGCCCGCATCTCACTTTCACTCTTTGGTGCTACTATTAAGTGTTTGATCTCTTAAGATATATTCAAAATTGTGCATTGTAAGCAATTTAAGTCACAGCTTTTGAGCATATACAAAATACATCCAATCGATTTTAAAACCAATGGCTGCAAGCAGTAGCATTTACATGAGAGCAAGTTGGCATGATGGTAATCTAAATGAAAACGGTGATGACATAAAAGTGCATGGAAACCATGGTAAGAAATCAAGCACTAAATGCTCCAACAGAGTACATGAATCAACTATTTGAAACTTAATGAAACAACTAGGGGTATGTAAGTTATGACCGGACAAAACCACAGTAACTAAGGAATGAAAAAACATAAAACAAAATAGAAACGACCATATTGTACATTTATCTTACATTCTGTGGGCTGTTTTGAACTATATCAACAGCATCTTGATTGCTAAGGTGTTCCCAAAGACCATCAGAAGCAAATATGAGAAATTGATCGTGCGATTGAAGTTCATGAACAGAAATTGATGGGTCGGAGCTCAAAATTGGCCTCCTAAAGCCATCCCGTACACGAAACTTGGCATACAGTGGCTCCTTGTTGAATTCAGCCTTTTTTAGGTATACATCGCCAATGGATCTAGAAATCTGCAACATAAAAATTTCATAACTATATGGTCATGTTTGGTCTAGTTCTTCTCCTTATAAGAATAAAGGCAAACACATTTTCTAGAAATCTCTTAAAAAGATCAAGTAGCTTAATTTTATAAAGGAAAAGGAAAACAAGTAGCATTTTAATTGCATGGTCAGGTAGGCAGCTTTGGTGTAAGATGTTTGTACACTGCACGGAATTCCTTAAAATAGGTAGTCTTTTCCTCTGCTTATTTATTGTAAAGGTTTCGAAGGTTGATAGTTTTTTTGTAAAATACAAAAATTAAAAAAAAATTGAAACGTTCACTTCTTGCTATATTTTTTTGTTTATTTCACTGCAGTATGATTCTAGAATTTTATCAATTACTACATTCTCCACAACTTTATGCAATGAGATCATTCTGTTCACAGATATTTCCAATGTGTTCCTAGGTCAGAGTTGAGTAGATTCAAGACTTGTGGACAAGTATTTGATGGATCACCAACCAATGAGGATAAATTCCTGGACTTAGTTTAGTTTTTTATTTGTTGTAGTACGAGTTGGTTTGATGATGATCAATCTTGTTTAGTCATAAATTGCCCATGATAGAACTATTAATTGGAAGAGTGATCATAGCTTCTTAACATCTAAACAGAACCAAAGCACATTTTCTCTCTTGATGTGTTAATTTGTTCTTTATCATTTCAAAAAGCTAAGAAGATTCATTTAAATAATCAAATTTTTAAGAGATTAAATCAAGTATCTGTTTCAACTTGTTCTCAATTAATTCAATCACAAGCAATATCTTATTTGTTTCAATCGATTAAACTTAATACCAATTCATTAAATTGTCTTTGTTGAAAACCTAGAATAGGAGACACATAATTTAATGATCAACCTTTGAAAAAAATCGAATAGAACAGAAAAATAATTGATTAAATCAGAAAAGTAATTGATTAATATTTGAAATAATCTTATTTACCTTTTAAAGACATGACTTCATTTTAAGACATTTTTTTTCAAGGACACTCAGGACAAAACTTGATAGATAAAATTTTTTGTTTTCAGAATCAACAAGTTAGAAATCATTGTGGAGTCTTTTTATCTCAAGATAAATAAGTGATCATCACCAACTCATGTAGCCAAGTCTTGTCAGTTACAAATTCAAGAAATCAGCAGATATTGTCCTTAAATTTTTGTTTTTATCTTTGAAGGTTTTGTAATTCTCAAGATAGGGTGTCTCAAGGTTGTTGTAGCAAGCTTCTACAAAGAGGGTTATCAACTCATCTCGTAGATCTCAAGAGATTTGGATGTTATTGTTTCTTTTTGTAAACATTGAAAATTAGTGTGATCTCAATCTTGTTGGAGTGGGAAACTGGTAGTAGCTCTCAGTGGTAAAGAGTGAAATAGTGTATATTCTTACTTTTATCCCCTCTCATCTTAAAATTACTGCAACAAATTGAATTGCAAATTCATTCATTGCGTAATTACATATTAGATAGGAGAGCTGATGAAGGCTACCAGATCTTAATAGACAACGTTTCTTTTTGTAAGAAAACGTTTACAAGAATTTGCAAAAAGGGTTAAAATCTTGTTTCAAATATAGCTACACAGCAGAACAGTGATGATATTAGGTCAAGGAGGATGGTATAACTCTAACACCAAGTTGAAATTACAGAATGTTCGTTTGATATGAAGAAGACACAAAAAAGAACATATCTAATTGATATTCGTATGATATGATAGGTTAGTGGTCCCTCCTGCATTATCTTATCCAACAACCAGAAAATTGAATTTTTTTTAAAATAAGGCAGAATTCTATCAAAATTTTCATGATTTTTTAAAGTTTTGTAGCATTAATTTATTAGGGGGGGAAATCAACAATTCGTAATTATTTTACTAGCCTAAGTCAAGTGTTCGTGTAGCACAAGCCCTGCCAAGAATATACTAATATAACAAAACTCAGCAACACAATAATAATCCTAATATTGTACATACTATATATATATATACACACACACACACACACACAAGAGTACAGGCAATATTTCTACCAAAAGAAGATCATAGGTGATGCTTTTATATCTTAACTACGGTAATAGTATGACAATTCTTCATACCAGTGAATGGGCTGCACATGGCTACAATATAAACTATGATTAAAACAGAGCATATTACTTCAATCTCTCATTTAATTGGTTAAAATTACAAGAACATTTTTTAGTCCTTGCAAAAAAGTAAGAATAAAACATTACTCGCACCTTTAATTTATAAATAATTTAATATCCTAATTATCTGGTAAAAATAGATTCATTCGCAAAGAGGGTAAATATAATACCTCAATAAAAATTATTTAACTAATTAAAGGAGATGCTTTTACCAAAAGATTAAAATATATTTTTCCAGTTATGACAAGATTTAGGGTTTTGCCTTTAAGCAAATCACCTTTCCAACCTCATCAGTAAATTAAAAAAGCATGTTAACAACAAAGAAAAATGACTTAAAATGAAACGTAAATAAATAAATAATAAAATGAGACCATAACTCATGTACAGGACAGCAAAGCCTATACAATAGGACCAACTGTGAAGAGTCAGTCTACATATTGCATAATCCAAAAACTTACAAAGAGTCATCATAATCACAGATGACATAATTTAGATATGCATATATCTAAAACGGTACAGGAAAAACGCAATGAA